TATGTATATATATTGTTGTGATATAAGTAGAAGAGAAAAGCTCTCAGCAAAAATGCTGAAATGAACGCATCCACTTAACACGAACTGCACAATCTTTCCCTCACGCTCACAGTCAATCCACTCACTCATACTTCACACACACACCCTTTAAATCCTTCCCATAACATAACTCCACCCCATCATGTTTAAATATACAACTGAAACCATCAAATCCAGCCCTGTAGGGACCAAAACCGAGCCAGCAAATGTCCAAATAACTTCCAGCATTTATTTAGGGAGGCATAACAGTAATAAAGCTGCGGAATGAAGTCCCAAATTCATTTAGGGACCAAAACCGAGCCAACAATGTATATATATATATATATGAAGTCCCAAATTCAGCATTTCATGTAGCAAATAAAAATAGAGAAATGAATTTTCCATTGCTTCTCATATGTGCTTCAGCTACCCAATTCGAATCAAAGCTTTTAAAACCGAAATCCCCAATTTTATAACCATTCAAGTTTATGCTTAGATGGTGAGAAAAGGATCGAACATAGCCGAAATTGACCACGTAAGGTGGAAAAAGTAAATACATAAGAATTATATGATCAGTATGCAAATGCTCTGCATAATCTGCATTCAAAGATAAACCATGAAGGCCCAAATTTTGCATTCGCATATATGGAAATGCCCCTTCAAAATTAAAAGCTCAACGATAAGAAGATGAAAAAAATTACAAAAATACATACAGAGCTCCGTGAGTTCGAATCAAAGCTTTTAACCAAAACCGAAATCCCTAATTCTATAACCATTCAAGGTTTTGCTTAGATGGTTAGAAAAAGGATCAAACAGAGCTCCCTGATCGAATGAAATCTTAACCAAAACCGAAATCCAGCACTGTAGGGACCAAAACCGACCCAAACAAATGAAAAAATAAGCCATAAGAATAACAAAGCTCAAGAATTTGCAATGATTCATTTATAACGACCATATGAACAGAAATAACTGTGAGAGAGATCGAACACGGCCTCCGGGAAGGAAGGAGACGGATATCGGGTAGGGCAAGAGTGTGAGGTCAAAAAAAATACCTCATATCACGGATCACAGCTTCGGGGGAGCTCGAAACCGAAGGCCAGACGGGAAGGTCGAGGGCAAGGGGGAGAGACGGGAAGGACAACACGGGAAAAATAACCTAAACGCGAGAAGCATACGCGGAACGGCGCCCCTAACCGGATTACCCTCCCTTAAGGAAATCGCGATAATAAAACGACGCGTTTTCAAAACTTTCATGGCGAACGCTATTTCCAAACGGAAGGGCGGCGTTTTCAAAACGTCGCCGCTTCCGATAAGCGCCCTCAAACGGGCCCTATATTAATCATACTTTAATTACATCTTCAGTTGTGTATTATATGGGTTAGGAATATTTATTAGGGTTATTTATTTATGTTTATTTTAAGAAATATCTATTATCTAATTGTGTATGACTTGCCATAACTGAGGCGGAAGCATGCTTTGAGGCATGCCTCACATTGTGTGAGACATAAGCCTTACCCAATGACGTTGTTAAGTCTCCTTACAATTTTTTTGAAAAAGTGTTGAGGTGACCTTTATGTTTCGCAATTTAAACTATGGTTCACAACATATGTTCAAGCACTCACTCCCTTTAATAGTGGACCTCACTTCACTACTAAACTTTTGATCAGTACTCAAGAGTTCATTCCCTATGAACTAGATAATAACAATTCCAAATTAAGTTAAAGGAATCTTGGCCTTCTTTTCCTTGAAAATTAATGAGGAACTTGATAATAAAGACTTATTTATCACTAATGACATACGAACTAGTCTCAATAAAATGGGATAAACTGGAGGAACCCACATGATCAATCAAGGTCCCTTAATCAATGGCTTCATTAGTTTCCATAGATGATTTAGCTTTCACTTTATTCAAAAGAGGCAGCTATGGCTGCAAATGCAATATTCACTTTTCTTGCAGGCATTTTCCTTCTAGTATTTTAACAATAGAATGGAAACTATCTTTGGACTTCTCCAAGCTCAAATTTTTTGTATCTCATCATCTTGGCAAAAAACATGAAACAAGATGTAAAGAAGACAAAGAAACTCAAATCTAAGCTTATGTCACTTAAAAGAAAATTATACTTGCCCAAAAAACTCAACAACTTAATAGATCCAAGGTGTTTTAAAGCTTTTTGCCCATTCAGAAGAAACTAACCAAGAGTAATCACCATGCAACTAGCTAGAGGATTTGCAACAACAACAACAACAACAACAACAAAGCCTTAATCCCACTACGTGGGGTCGGCTACATTAATCCTTTTTCTCCATTGCGTCCTATTTAGTGTCATATTTTCATTTAGTTCTAGTAAATTAAGATCATTTTTAATACAATAAGCCCAAGTCTTCCTAGGTCTACCTCTGCCTTTCTTAACACAAGTCGAATCTAAAACATCTACTCTCCTAATCGGATCATCAGATGGTTGACGTTTAATGTGACCAAACCATCTAAGACGACTTTCTCTAATTTTGTCTGTCACAGGAGCTACACCAACCCTATCACGAATATATTCATTCCGCATTTTGTCTCTAAGTGTAAATCCACTCATCCACCTAATCATTCTCATCTAAGCAACACTTAACTTATTATTATGCTTCTCTTTTAAAGGCCAACATTCAACGCCATAGAGCATTGCA